GGACTTGGTTGTTCTTTGGCCGGGGCTTTGCCTCGATCGTCAACCGAAGGACCGAGGCGATCCGCCATTGTTATTTTAAACTTGGACAAATCTAGGCTAACCCAGGGTTTCACCGTTGATGTAGTAGACGTGCACGGAACGGATGCTTGCGGCGTCTTTGGCATCCAAACTCTACGATTCTTCGGTGGCTTTTCAGACACCGTTTCCTTCTTGGTTTCTTGTGCTTGTTGACGAAGAGCGCGAGCACGGGCGGCCTTTGCCTTACGCCTTTGTATCCGTTCCTTGAGGGTTGAACGGGCCCTTTTGACGAGAGTCCACTCCTCCGTCGTAAGTTGTGCAGAAATATGATTATCTTGCCGTTGAGGCAACTGAGCCATTTTCTGTTTCCTCGACTCTAGGTCTGCATAATAATGGACCCCGTCGGTTTGTTGCATGGCCTTAGCCAATTGACGAGCACGGCGATGGCGCTGTCTCTGACGAGCTCTTTTCGTCAGCACCGGTGAGCTATTGATCAACGAGTCCGTAACTGGTGTGGAGTCATTTGGAGCAGAGATGTTGCAGGTATATTCTTTAGCAACATCCGGGCAAGAACTTTCACCTGCGGTCTTCATTGATACTGCAGACTTGAGCTTTTTTCTGGGAGATGAAACTTTCCTATACTTGCGGAGTAAGGAAAGTTTTGATGATGAGGATGACAAGTACTCCTCAAATTTCGCCTGATCGAATTCGTATTCGATCTCTTCGTTGACGACGATCTTGATCGGTTGCGACACCGCGGCCTCGGCAGCGAGGCCGCTGGCTCCCACTGTGGTCGCCAGCTTGTTTGAGTCAAAAGTCGGTTCTGTTGAGGAATTCATTATATCTTCAAGCGATTACAATAAATTCAAAGAAATAGTCTTTTTATAAGACCTCTTTTACACAACAAAGCAAAAATTACAACTTTTGAGAAACAAACACAAAAATCGTCTATCGATCTTTGTTTTCGTGGGACTTTGCCTGTGCCGGGAACGCTTTGGTTCGTGGACCGCCGAATCACAGATCGTGAAGAGGGGGTTTACTGATTCTGACTTCGTTTATCAAAGTGAGAACTTGAAACGATATCTTATCGAAGTAAGATAGTCGTTCTTCTTAAAATCAAGTCAAAGCTTAATTTCAAGGCGTTGCAAGAAAAGAACTCAAATCTGCTCTCTCTCTGCTCTGGAATGCTCTAACAAATGCTCGATCCTCGTCAGAAGTGACCCTAGGGGGGTATTTATAGCCTCAAGGGTCAGTAACTGCAAAAACTTAACAATCGAAGAAGTCAGTACGGCGAGACAGTGTTTACTGTCTCGCTGGTTGAGACAGTGTTTGCTGTCTCGACTCGCGAGACAGTAAATACTATCTCGGAAACAGTAACCGCAGGCAGTTTTCGTTTTAACTGCCTTCCCACGTTTCAAACTCCGTTATTTTGGCAGTTATCCACGTGATTTTCGCCCATGATGTTTCCCACGCCCCTTGGCAGTTAATGGACACGTGTAGGGCAGTTATCAAGGTGGTTTTTTGACCATTTCAACACTGTCTCGCTGGTGAGACAGTAAACACTGTCTCGCCGGCGAGACAGCAAAGTCTGTCTCGCTGGCGAGACAGCAAATACTGTCTCGCTGGCGAGACAGCATATACTGTCTCGCTGGCGAGACAGCAAAGCCTGTCTCGCTGGCGAGACAGTTCATTCTTGCCTTGATTTTCAATATGAGATCCCTTTGAATGATTTTCTCTATGTTTGGGATATCTATTAGCATTTTTTGACGCCTACAGCAACATGGAACATATTTTGAGGAGTTTTTCAAGTCAATTGCAGATCCACATGCTGTCATACACGTAACCATGGTGTGTGAAAGATATATTCAAGAATTTGAGTTAGAAGAAGTCCTAGCTGAAGAGGCAAAACAACAGATGAAGAAAATCAATGCTAAGTACAAGGCAGATGCTGATCGTTGTAAGAGAAGAAAATTATCTATCAATGAAGCTACTATTCTACCAAATATAAGCTCGGGGTTAAGCTTCTTTCAACAAGGGGAGACTGATGTAGGATGTTTAACAAAAAAAATTAATGGAGGATTCGGACATTCATGAGCTAAATACAGATTTATACTTTCGCAAAATAACAATCATATTTTTCAATCCGGAATGCGGATTCTGACATATTATATATGTAAATCGCCTATCTCGACGAGACGGAGCCAATCAGATTGTCAGATTTTTACAATCATACCAGTTATGCCCAGTTTTGGCAGAAATCCGAAAATAATCAGCTTTTAATTTTTTAGTAGTAAACTTGGAGTCTATTTAGATTAGGAAATAAATTTAATTTTAGAGTCAAATTAGGTTAGGAAACAAAATCAATTTTGATTCATGATTTGTTTCATCTATTATGAGGAGTCTTTTTAGGATAGAATTTGACACTTTCTTTTTTTTGTAATTCTAGTCTTATTAGGAGTCTTATTAGGAGTCTTATTTGATACTTTTTATTTTTGTAATTCTAGTCTTATTAGGAGTCTTATTTGTTTTTCTATTTAAGAAGAGTCATATAACCTCAAAGGAGAATAACTTTTGATTAATAAAATTTTATTTTTCTTTAATATTTACTTCGTGGATTCGAAATTCTTTGTGGATTCAGATAACACCCTTGGTGAATTCCGAGGTTATCACTTCCGCGCTGCGTCAACAGCGATGGAGCGGGATCTTGAGAAGAAGAGGGCAAAGGTTAGGAGAAATAGCGGTTGTAAGAGATCTCGAGAAACGCGCATAAAAGGATGAACAGTATTTTAGTTTTTAAATGGGAAAGGTATTTTGGGAAGTTCCTTAGTTGGTTGTGGGTTTATACACTTTTCGGGTAGTAGTTACACAAAATTATCCGTATAAAAATGAGCCACGTGACACTTTTTATTGAGGAGGAGGATGCATAGCTTCTTTTTTTTGAAATTGCTACAAACAATGTTGCTTAAGTCTTTTACATGCCATAAATGGCTAAATACACATATTGGTATTTTAATTCCACCACATTTACCAAGAAGGTATTTTAGTTAGGAAAATCTGCTTTAAGGCATTTTAATTGATTCAACTTACCAACAAGGCCATTTTTCTTGTCGGCGACCAGTTTTCCGGCGAGAGCTCGTCACATGCGTGGCACATGATGACTTAAACTATTTTTAGCTGCTGATATGGCACAGATTTTCTAACGTGGCAGTGTTTAAAGGCGGGAATTAACCCTCTAAAAATCCCAATTCACCCAAAATAGGACAGATTCGTCCAACTGTTTTATCCACGTCAGAAAATCCGTGCCACATCAGCAGCTAAAAACAATTTAAGTCATCACGTGCCACGCACGCGACGAGCTCTCGTCCGAAAACTGGTCGTTGACGAGAAAAAGAGTCTTGTTGGTAAGTTGAATCAATTAAAATACTTTAAAGCAGATTTGCCTAATTAAAATACATTCTTGATAAATATGATGAAATTAAAATATCAATATGGGTTTTTAACCTGCCATAAATGCTGCAAATGCACCCGCTTGTAAAAGATGTTTAATTGGACAAACATAAACTGAACCCCTCATGATCAGTCACGTCCCCTGCATTTACCACTTGGCCACCCACCACATGCCCGAGCTCGTACGACACGGACCTCGCGCGACTCCTGTCCAATCTAACGATATGATCAACCATTATTGTACGTTATTGCGTGAGCACCTACTGTTCTTCTGCAGGAGGTATCATTATTTGTAGACGTACTGTTAATTGATAAGGGATGTATGTTCAGCGTGGTTATGCATAAATTACAATTCTCAGTACTACAGTGAAAGGAAACTTTAGACATACTAGAACAATCATAATTCAAATGTTATGGAGATATATTTATAGTAACAAAAATATCGTTGTGCATCAATGTCGGAATATCAAGTTACAAACATAGCTATCACTCCGATTTTAGAGTATTGATGTAGTGAAAGAGACGTTTAACATTTATAAGAACAACTCCAATGGGGAGGCTGCAAAATGCAGCCTCCCCAAAGAGTATTCTCTTCAATATCCTTTTTTAGAGGGGGGTGGGCACTCCAACCACTTTCAATTGATTGCTTTTATAATACTTTAAATGGATTTAAAATATAAAAAATATAAAATGTTAAAAAAATTATATGAATTAATTTAAAATATAAAATATATTATAAATTAATACTAAAATTATAATATATAATATACTCATTATTTAAATAAAATTAATTATTTTTAATAAATTGATAATAAGACATAGATAAGAACCTTTAAATTTTAAAAACCAGAAAATATAGCATAATATTTGGAACAACCTTCATCACTACTCCGAAAGATGAAATTTTATATATTACATTCAGCGGCATTACATAGAAAAATAAAGTACATGAAAAAAAACTAAAAATCGGGCAGGCCATTTCCTCCATATCCACCGCTTCTGTAGTCAGGTATTCCGTATTGACTTTCTGCATAACTATATTCAGCATTAGGAATATCAGATGAAGAACCCTCAGTTGTGTTTCTATTTATAATCTCATGTTTTTTAATTCGAAAATACTCGCGTTCCGAAGGATCAGTAATAGTATCAAGATTAATTAACATAATTTTACTTTCCTGTCGTTCTCTTTAAAGATCTAATTTTTTCTTATCGTTTTCGGCCCTTAACATCATAATCTGGTGCATTGACATTCTATCATTTTCTCGTTGTCCATGACTTTTTTTTTAAATATCGACAATTTCTTGATTGCTTTTATTGAGAGTTTCAAAGTTGATGTTCTTTTCAGTTGCATGTCGCCTCCTCACCTTCTCTTTCTTCCTTCCTGTCGGTCGGCTTGTTATCATATTGTCGTCATTATGAGTATATCCCTCATTATCGTCATTTAAGTCGACAACATGAGAACTTGAATCTGATCCCTGAGATGAGCGGGACTTTGAAGTTTTGGAAGTTGCAGGCGATCTGACACTTATATTTGCTCATTTCTCTGCATCTTTTAAAATTGACCAAACATGATCAAATAGAAACCCCTTTTTCTCTTTTGGATCTTCTGCAAATATTATCCTAGCACGTTTAATCTACCACAAGAGAGGAAGAAACATTTATTAATAACATGATAATAGATGATAATCAAGATTTATGTTATTCAAATTACTTACAATGTCAAGCTCAGAAGCACCGCTTGGATTTAGGCGCTCGACTTGTCGAATGCATCCTCGAAATTTACTGATGGTCTTCATAATTAATTGCATTCGGCATGAGAGAGACTTCAGAGTCCTCTGAGCATTACAAATATTGGAAATCCTTTCATGAAATAAAGCAGAAATTCGTTTCCACGGCTTGTCCTTCTTTTGATTAGAACCCATGACTGGATCTTGAGAAATTTCGAGCCATGTGGCGCATAAAATTTGGTCTTCTTCTTGTAAAAAAGATTTTTCGTGACTAGATGTCATAATCTAAGGAGATAACGTTATTGAGGATGATACTATTATGATGGAGGAATGTAAAGCGTTATGAATATAGAATAAGAAGAGTTATGGTGAAGATATGAAAATTGTGCAAGCATTATATAGGGATCAGATGTGGGGAGTCTCCAACACCAGGAGAATCCAATGTGGGGAGTCTCCAACACTAGGAGAATCCAATGTGGAGAGTCTCCAACACCGAGAATCCAATGTGGGGAGTCTCCAACACCAGAAGAATCCAATGTGGTGAGTCTTTAACACGAAAGGAATCCAATGTGGGGAGTCTCCAATGTGGGGGAGAATCCAACACAAAGATAATCCAATGCTGGAGAGAATCCAATGCTGAAAAGAACCCTATGTGGGGAAGAATATTATATAATGACATTACATCCATCTCTAAACAACTCACAACTTATAGTTGTATTTCTATAAATAACTTCTTCATCAATGAACTATAGAGCCGGACCGTCACATCTACCTTCTTCTTCTTCTTCTTCTTCTTCTTCTTCTTTTGACGACGAAATGTTTTCTCGATACATTAAAGATTGGGAGGAAGATATGACACAATGGGAGAAGGAAAATGAACTTTTAGCTCGCGTATATGCCTCTAATAATAAAATAATAACTTATCTCTCTCAAGAGGCAGAGCGGCCTAAGCGTATTGGCTCAGTTCCTGGTCATTTGGTGATCAATCGCGGGAGGGAAGAAGGTAATTCTCGACTTTACCATGACTATTTTTCTGATAACCCTATATATGGTGCAAACCTATTCCGTAGAAGGTTCCGGATGCACAAGAGTTTATTCCTTCGTATAGTCGAGGCGGTACGTGAGCATGACAATTTCTTCGTACAGAAGATGGATGGTGTTGGCAAACTTGGGCTATCAATTTTACAAAGAGTTACGTCGGCATTTTGCATGTTGGCGTATGGAACATCAGCAGATAGTACTGATGAATATGTTAGGATCGGTGAGTCAACTACAAATGTATGTTTAAAGAGATTTTGCAGAACAATTGTAGAAGTATATGGAGATGAATATCTGAGGACCCCCAATGTCGACGATTATTGCAAAAGGGTGAAGAAAGAGGTTTTCCAGGAATGTTAGGAAGTCTAGACTGTGTGCATTGGCAATGGAAAAAATTGTCCAACAGCATGGGCATGACAATACTCAGACCGTCATGGAGGTCCAACCATTATTCTTGAGGCAGTAGCATCATATGATCTATGGATATGGCATGCATACTTTAGCTTACCAGGATCCAATAACGATATTAATGTATTGCAGTCGTCTAATTTGTTCGACAATCTATCACAAGGTATTGCCCCTCCTGCTCATTACACAATTCAAGAAAAAAATTATGATGTCGGTTATTATTTGGCCGATGGCATATATCCGAAATGGCCAACACTTGTTCAAACCATTTCTAAACCCGATGATAAAAAGAAACAATATTTTGCAATGATGCAAGAAGCATGTCGAAAAGATGTGGAGCGGGCATTCGGTGTTCTCCAATCACGGTTTGCTATCATCAAGAGGCCAGCCCGTTTTTGGGATAAACGAACTCTGCATGATATCATGGCTGCTTGTATTATAATGCACAATATGATTGTCAAAGATGAACGCGACGAGCAAGAAGATGTTGTCATTTCAACTCCACAATCAATTCTGAATGCTGAAAATATGGAGATAATGGAAACTGAACGATTCCAACGGTTCCTTGCTCGACATAAGAGGTTGAAAAACAAAGAAGCTTATTTTGCACTTTGAAATGCATTGATTGAACATTTGTGGGAAAGACATGGAAATGAAGCGATGTAACTTTTTTTAATAATGAAATAATGACTTTTCATTTTTAATTACTTGATTCTTGAAATTTTATATTTCAATTAATATTATTCAATATTAGTCTCATTTTGAAGGTATCGACAAAACATTTCCAACTGTAAAATTTTTATTTAAAAATAATTAGTAGAAATAAAGTTATGTTGATTTTAAATTAGTAGTTACTAATTAAAAATGATATGGAAGTAATAAGTATTGGTTTATAAATCAAAAAAGGGCAAACTTGGCATTTAAGAAAAATGCACAGTTCATTTGCAACAAACTACAAAATGAGGGCAAAGGCTGCATAAATGCAGCCCCATTTCCTTCGGCTGCAAAATGCAGCCGGAGGTGCAGCCCCATTGGAGGGCTTCGGGGCTGCAAAGTGGAGTTTTGCAGCCCCGTTGGAACTGCTCTAAGAGAATTGATGGTTTCTAACACATTGAAATATCAGAAAATCTCTTTGCGGCAACTAACTTCATTTGACACCCATGTGATTAGTACATATAACATTGAGATAAACTCTCTTGGGTCATGAAAAATGTTAAACTAATTATTAATTATAATAAGGATTAAAGTTATAAATCAATTTCAAACAAGAGTCTAGGCGAGGGCTAGAGTTTTGGATATCAAAATGATGTAAATAAACCCCTGATTTTCTAATTAGCGATTAATTCTCAAAGATTTTAAATTTAAGATATCTCAAAATATTACAATATTTCAAGATAAGCATGGTTATCCTATCAAAACCAACCATGACCAAAGTACGTAATAAGAAAAAAAAAACTTACATACTTTTCTCACTGGAATCCCACGGCACTTTTTTTTTAAAAATTTTAACTACTCATACCCGAGAGAACTTGCATCATTCTGCTGATGCAGCAACAAGTAGTTACACCCTACTTGCAGAAATGTCAAAAACATCATTACAATAATGTAGCGGTGGTTCACTTGCTATTTATTTTCTCCATAATCCACTAACTAGTGAAATAGGGTTCAAAGTTTTCGTAGAAAAGGCCTCGGTTTGTAAAGATTTAAGCAAGAGAGATGGAGGAAAATGGCTAACCTGGTTAAACTGTTTTTAGAGTACATAGTAGCTTATATTTAAATTACTCAAATCATCTTTAGTATGTGAAAAGTGAGAAGATTATTATTGCTTTCTATAAATGAAGAGTTATTTCTTAACCTGTCTCAGGAGGTGAATTAGCATATCCCTTGATTTTGAGGGTTGAACTCTTATAATCCGTGCAGAAACAAATATATCAACCCTTTTCGAATTTTTATGTGTGACTCAATAAAGCTGTTGTCACGCAACACGTTTACGTTTTAAGTAGCTAAATATGAACAAGATTACATTAATTATTTGTTACGCTAGTCGTCTAAAATCCCAACACTTGGCCTTTATCAATGGCTTCCAACTAAAGTTAGGAACAAATTTACCGAAAGAATAAAGATAAATCCCAAGGGCCACCAACTTTCAAATTTAAAACATGGAGAACGTTGAGCCTTGTCATCCTTTCCTCCAACGGTCCAAAGGGATGTCTCAACTAATCAGATCTACCCAAATTTTCAAGCCAACCCCCACCCCTACCCCCCCAACATTTATAAAAGCAACAAGACTCCTAAATACTTGGTGAAAACGAAAACAAGAGCTTCAAGTTGAACATCAATGGAGACCATGGAGCAAAGAATCAAAGCTCTGAATCCTATCCACAGCCAAGTCAGGAGAATCAAGCTAGAAGATGAGAAGATCATAGAGGAGAAGTTCAAGATTCATAGGGCAAGATTCTCCGATGGCAGGGCGAGGCTGCAGCGCTCGAGATCGCCGTTGGGGCTCGGTGGCCGGGCTATTTCTATCCCTGTTGGAAACTGAGGTTGAAGACGGTGGAGCTTGCTTCATTTCTCTTGTAAATATTGTTTGCAGATGATCTTGTTTATGGTTGTCGGTAGTGTAACTAGTGTTTGCTTATGTTTTGTTAGGTTAGTGGTTGTGATCAGTTTTGAGTGTTTTTTTGTCCCCTCCCCTTCTTTGGATCATCCTTGTGTACATATTTCATGATATATGGTAAGAGAGGTATTGATAGAGTATAAATTCTATCAGAACAATCTACATCTTAGCTGGCTATTGTTAACCATTCAAATAAGCATTTCCCCCTCATGTGCTATTCCACAGAATTTGTGTTCCCATTTATGGCGGGATTGGGATCCTCTACCCTGAGGATAGATTATAGAGAGATCAATTTAATGGATAGATTATAGAGAGACAATTTAATGGGCTTAATTATTGGGTACAGAATGAAAAGTTGATACTAGTGAGATTCATGGAGGTTATGGTATCAGTTATGTTTAGGGTCTGTTTGGTACATTTCCGGAAAAGAAAAAAGAAAAAAGAAAACAGTTTTTGAAAAC